AGCAAATGAATTAAAAGGGACGGTACGGTCTTCAGCAACGAGCAAAACCAATAACTATTGCAGGATTTAAAAGACGCACTTCTGTTTTTATATTTTGTTTGTTATTAGTTTTCGTCGTCTTCATAGTTTGTGAATACATTTATGTACGGATATTTTTTTTAAGTTACTTGAAATCTCATGCATAATAGAAGGTCTAGATGGGATTTACAGAATAGAGAATAATGGGACATTACTACAGAAAATGGGCCAAAAAAATGAAGAAAAGTGAAAAAGGCTCAAAAATAAAGAATAGAGAAAAATAGTCCAAAAATTAAAGAACAGAAAAAAATAGACCAACAAATAAAGAAGAGAGAATACTGGGGTGCTAAAATATAAAGACTAGAAAATAACTGTCAAAATGTATAAAGAACAGAGAAAAATGATGGAGAAAAGTTAAAGAACACAGATATATGAAGAAATCCCCATCCAGACCCTCTGTAGTAATTTTAACACAAGAATTCCTGTTATTGATTATAATAAATCAATATTGACAAATACCCAATGAATAAAAAAAGGGCTTTTTATACATTAGTAAAATTGAGAATGAAAACGGAAATGTGTCAAAGAGACAACAACCGACCAAAGATCAGAAAACAGCCGAAGGCCACCAATGGGTCTTCAACACAGTAAGAAAATCCCACACCCGGAGGAGGGCTTCAGCTGGCCCCTTAAAAAAATTAATACTAGTTCAGCGAAAATGGACGTCACACTAAACTACGAAATATATAAATGAACCAAAATAAAAAGAAAACACATAAAAGACTAACAAAGGCCAGAGGTGCATGTATATATACTTTTTACATGGTAATGTATGTAGATTTTTTTCTGTGTCTTGTTTTTTTCCATCAATCAACTATAAAGCTTTGTATAGATGTGAAATCCAGAAGTTATTCAGCTATTACAAAACACATAATTTAAGTAATATATGAATTGTTAGTAAGTAATGTATAACATGCTCATTTTCATGTTTTAACATTCACATAATCAAAGACATATTTTCTGATTTTGCTCATGATACTTTACACTGCTTGTCAGTTAAACCACTATAACAAACGGATGAAAAAACCATCAAACGTTCAACAAAACACACCACAGCAAAACAAAAACATCAAAAAGACGAACCATTAATAACACAGCACCGGTAGTCAAAGTAGGAGAAATACGTGTCTACTTAAACCCCTAATTAATTCCATTGTACTGGAAGGGTAAGCGGTTCCAAACTCAGGAGTGATACCCAATATGCTACTCATCGTAAAATAAAATGATGAGTAGCATTTGGAAGGGTAAAATTGGAAAAATATCCGGGTGACACATGTATACCATTACGTTAAACTCAATCATGATGTTTGCAAATTCTCTACGAGACGAACTCAGGACCAACTATGCAAAAGCCTCCTTATAACCCTATTACAAGAAAATTATGATATATGTTAGGAAAGCAAAACCTAGAAAAGTATGTCAACTAGGAAATATATACATATTACATATGCAAGCTGTTGAAATCTTGCTACACAGAAAGGGGACTTCACTATGTGAAAATTGTAATTATCTCTTTTGTTGTAAATTTTCAAATTTTCCTCATGTACAATTTCTAGGTGAAAGTCAAAATTAAAACAGACTTCACACAACCTGCGGTATTCCTTAGTTCAAGATCATTTGAATGGATGCAACCAACATTGAAATGCATCGAACGGATATTTTATGTATGGCTGAATGTAAAGTTACAGACTAGATGTAGCTTTCTTTCCTTTTAAAAGCTCTTGTATGAGGTCAGCCTCAACAAAATAGGAACAAGTTGGCAAACATGTTGGTTCAATTGATACTAGAGCTCATAGGAAAGCTGATTGTTTGCTGAAAATAAATACGTCCTCCGAACGTAACAATAATGTTGTCATAAAACATCTAGCATCTTCGTGCTATTTTCAGTATGATTTAAAAATGATTTCTACTATGTATGTGTTTTTCCTATAAAAAAAGATACTTCTAATTGAACTGATATTTCTATTCATACAAAACATATTTAAATCTGACATGAATGTTGTTTTAACACATGTTTTTTTTTTGCGGCGTTCTTCTGGAATCTGATAGGTATTTGTGATGCACCTCTCTAAGTAATTTGTTTTGTAAATTTCGATTTTGTTGTAATATTTATCATTAAATATCATCTTAATCTTTCATCAAATGTTTAACTACATGGATTGAACTTTCAAGATCACATGGTATGTGGACTGTTGCCAGGCTAAATCTCTGTTTCTATCCAATATACCCTCATTTTCAGTGGCAATCCAAATTACCCTGTCCATCACCCTGGCCTGTATTACAAAGATCTAACTGTTCTATTTAGAGTTAATTTTTGTTTATCCTGAACGTGCATGAAATATTTGCCACTAGACGTTGAACGACCAACATTCGATAAATGTTGAAACTTTAAGAAACTAAGGTTTAAACTCCCTCAGGCAAAATTCACCTTAGAAAGATCTGGCTATTTTCTTGGGTCCTTTTTGTTTAGGTAATATAGCTCAACTGTTTCCGATCATATTTTTCCTTGAGTTTCAATTATTCGGCTGTGAGTGTTCCTGGGGAAAATAAATCTAGAAAAGCGATTCTGACGCATCAATTTTTTAACGTGTATTTTTTCATTTTTTACAGCACTGGGTCGATACATCTGCAGGTTGACTACTAGTCCCCGATGGTATCATCAGCTCAGTAGTTAGTACTTCGGTACTGACATGATCTATAACAAACCTTCATAAATTGTCCGTTGATAAATTTTGAAATTATACATGTTATAAGAAAATAAATTTTCAATTCTCTCAAAGTTGACCTTAGATTGTTTTGGCTATTTGTTCATGTCCTTTTTTGTTATACAGCTCTTCGACTGTTTCGGTTCTGATACATCGGCTTTCGAATATTCGGCTTTGAGCGTTCCAGGTGAAGGTAAATTCAATGAAGGCGCTTCGGGCGCATGCAATTTATAACGCGCTGTTTTAATTTTTTACCTTCAAAACTTCTATTTATCCAACCATATATTTATATTATTTTTGTTGCACTAAACGGTCAATAACTAGTAAGATCCTTTGAATAATTAAATTATATTTGGTATTTGCAGTTCAAAATGCTCAATTTCGAACAAAAAGGTGCCTCGGTTGTTCCGTGTTATAAGGAGGATTTGAAGTTCATTTGAAAGTTCCAATTGTCTATTTTAAATCATACACACCTTTTCTAAACAGTTATTTGACTGAAACCTGTAAAGTTGTCAAGTCTGCAAATTATCAATTGTGTCCTATTCCCTATTGCAACATTTTGGCTGAATGTGAGTTTACATGACAGGTTTCGCATGTTTGAGCAGGATATGCATCGTCTGACGTCTCACCCGGTTATGTTCCTTTTGGAGTTCAGGAGATTAAAAAAAAATAAATATAAGTATTGTTTTATTTGTTTACTGCATTAGCTCGATACCGCAGCTGGTGGACTATCAATCCCCAAGGTTATCAGCAACTCAGTAATCATGTCAGTACATCGGTACTGACATGATTATAATTTATGACACACCTTTCTTAAATTGTCCGTTTATAAATTGAAAAATTATTAAGTAACCAAAAATTTCAACTCACTCAGCAAATATTTATGGATTGGCTATTATTTTTGGTCTTTTTTACATAGCTCATATAGCTCTTCCACTGTTTTGGTTCTCATAATTCTTGGCTTTCCAATATCTGGATTTGATCGTTCCTGGAGAATGTAAATCCAGAAAAGCTCTTCCTACGCATATAATTTATAACTGTTGTGTTCATATAGATTCTACCACTGCATCGAAAGTGATACGCTATTTATCCACGCGAGACAGTTGAAAATCTAAAATCTAACTGTCGAAGGTGGAATAATATTGTATTGGACGAGATTTGGTGGTAGAATCTGTTTCCCTTATAATTTTTCGACGATATGCAGAAAATTATAATCCTTCTTTTCGAATGATCTGCAAAACGATGTGTTCTTTCTATGTGACGTCATCAGTCATGGTTGCCTTTTTTTCTACGTCACAAAAAGAGTTTTAGAGGAAAGCAAGATAATTTGACTTTATAATCGAATTTTGTCAAATGACAAACTGAAATCAAATGATTAAATACAGATTCTACCACTGTATCGAGTGTGATACGATATTTATCCATTCGAAACAGTTGAATTTTCAAATGTAAAACACGAGGTTTGTCGAGCGTTTTAAATTTTAAAATTTAACTGTCGAGAGTGGATTAATATCGCATTGCAATAGGTTTGGTGGTGTAATCTGTTTCTCTTATGATTTTTAAACGATATGCAGACAAATTCAATCCTTCCTTTCAAATGATCTGCAAAAAAGATGTGTTCTTTCTATGTGACGTTATTAGGCATGGTCGCCTTTTCTCATTACGTCGCAATAGGAAATTGAGAGAAAAGCGAAACAATATGACGTCATAGTCGAATTTTGACCAATGAAGAACTGAGATAAAAAAAAACACACGTTGGTTTAATTAAAATAATGAGTAGGTCAGGAAAAGAATATATCGGGTAAATTAGAGAAATGGTTTTGCATCATTATGTCGATACCGCTGCTGGAGGACTATCAGTTCCAGAGCTTCATCAGCTCTGTCGTAAGTGCTTCGGTATTGACATGATTTATAAACAAACTTTTCTTAAATTGTCTATTCATAAATTAATAAATTATTCAGAAACTCAGATTTCAACTCCCATTGGCAAAGTTGACTTAAAATGGATGTAGCTACTATTTTTAAGTCCATATTTGGTCATATACATGTCGCTCTTCATATCTTATATATATACTTGGATTTTAATTATCCGGCTTCGGTTAAGGTAAACTCAAAAAAGCGCTTCGGACGCATACAATTTATAAAGTGTTGAAATGAATGGTGATAGTTGCATCAAAACATGACAAAGGCACTAATTAAACATTTATTATATTCTGAGAAAAAAATGAAAAATCATCATCTGTTCATTAATTTTTAAATACACCATGATCGATTAAACTATAAATACATAGGGTCATTCGGCATTTTTGGGCCATTCACATGGCCTTGTTTACAAACACTGTAGATCCGCATGAAATTCCTACACTAACTCTATTACTTGTCAACGCTGAAGTAAAATAAATTAAGTGCATTCAACATTTTTTCACCCTAGTTTTCCATGTTTTAATCGATTTATTACAAACGTATCATGTTTAAAGGGATTAAATGATTGATTTTAAAAAAATAGCAAATTTTACTACCATCCCCTGCTTCACCTTCCAATGACAAAATAAAACAACTACAAATGTATAATACATGATATACAATGTAACTATTAAATATGGTTGTATCATTGATTATCAAATATACACTAAAAACAAAATGTGCACATCCCCATTTCCATGCTCAATTTTATCACAAACTAGCATAGTCTAGCCATAAGTGTCCTTATACAGAAGAATATACAATGCTAAGCAATGTGTGTCAGGCTACAAAGTAAAAATCAAATGTTGAACAATTGAATAATTTTTAGTTATGCACATACATATAAAAGGTAGACACATTTTACAGATTCCACTTCTGGCACTAACAAATCAAAATGACACGCTGATTAAGTACTTAAACATTAAAGAGTTTCAAATAGTTTTGAACAAATATTTCCTGTGTCGCCAGCATCAGCCATTCGCCTTCAACACAAACAAAAACAAATTGAATTTCAACCACCAACAAAAACAAATAGAACAGAAGTAACACTATAACCAAAAGTATGAATACTGCAACTAGAAAATTTATGCATTTTATATTGCAATTCCCGCATAGCTGTTTACGTTGTTTAGGCGGCGGAAGCATGGGTACTTGTGGTATAATAATCGGGGTTGCTTGTGGAATAACAACCGGTCTTGGTTGTGGTATAGGCTGTGTTGTAATAACAGATATTGGTGGTGGGTGTGAGGGTGGAATCGATATTCGTCGGGTTGGAGGGGTTAGAAGACGTGGTTGTCTTATACAACAGCAACAATTCTCTTCGCACGAAAGGCACTTTCCGCATGTGCATTTTTGCTGGGGTATTGGTATACGTAATGGTGGAGTCGATATTCGTTGGGCTTGTGGTGTTTGTTGGTGTGGTTGTAATATCATTGGTGGAGGGTGTACCTGACTTGTAACACAATTTTTACAACATGTGCATTCGAACCAATCATCCTCTGGGGAACGAAGATCACTAGGGCAACATCGCATTATACAACAGCAACATTTTTTTTCGCACGACAGGCACTTTCCGCATGTGCATTTAAATATTTCAATTTTGGGGGGATCCAGTTCAGAGGGAAAACATCTGCACAAACAACATGCAAAAGACTTTTGACATGCAAGACATTTTCTCAATATACATGTACAGAAATCATCTTCATCTGCATACGAAGGAAAACATCGTAAAATACAACAGCAACAATTTCGTTCACAATTCATGCAATCCCCACATGTACATTCAAACCAGTCTGATTTTGGAGGTTTTTGATGTTCAGGAAAGCAACGAAAACTAAAACATTTGCACGGTAGATCACACGACAAACATTCCCCACATCTACATGTACATATATCTGGATGAGAAGGTTTCAAAAACTCAGGAAAACATCTAAAAATGAAGCATTGGCAGTAAGGCATTGTACAAGCCAAACATTCCCGACAGCTACAATTCCAAATGTCATTTTTAGGGGGATTCAAGTGTGTTGGACAACATCTAAATGTAAAGCACTTACAAGGTCTTTCAAAGGCAATACAATCACCACATCTACATGTAAAGACATCAGACTTAGGTGGAACAAGGTGAGTCGGGCAACAACGTACTAAACAACATCGACAATTTCTTTCACAGCTCATGCAATCGCCGCATTTACATTCAAAGACATCGTCTTTTGGGATAGATAATTTTGTTGGGAAACACCTTACAATACAACATTTACAAAACTTTTCACAAGATAAACACTGTTTACAAGTACAATCACAAGCTTCTGTGTCTCGTTCCGGAAATCTGGAAGGGAAACATCTTAAGATGCAGCATTTGCAAGACCGCTCACATTTCCATTTGTTTTGTGCCCTGAAAAGAGAATTTTTTTTTTTCATTTTAGGAACATTCTTCTTAACTTAACATTCAGTGACAAGTTGTTCAATAGCTATTGATATACAGGTTGTCGTGCAATTTTGGTAGATCAAGATGATGAGAAAGAAATTTGGTGTTTGTAAACGGAAAATTATATGTTCGATAGGATCCAGTATTATGCCTAGTAAAAGGCTCCCACGGACAGTCGAGTATCAACCCTTATTACCAAGTATCGAGTACCGAAAAAATACTCGGTTTCCTGTCAGGATATTGACCTGTTTTCCCATAATTTCCTGAGGGGAAAACGCCCTTTGAGAGTTCAATAGAAATCACTGAATAGTCATAGTTAAAAAAAATGTTTGTAATATTTGTGCGAAATTGCTGGAGCACGAATCCAGGTGCGGTATTTTCTCGCCGTGTTGAAGACCGATTGGTGGCCATTGGCTGTTTTCTGCTCTTTTTTCGGGTTGTTGTCTCTATGGCACATTCCTCTATTTCAATGTTTTATTTATATACCACCTTTGTAATGTGTTTTCTTTGCAATAATAAAATGTTAATGTTGTTTTTTCTCGTTAGACTTTGTTAGCAATTATTATTTTCGAAGGGTATTTATTTAAATATTGATTTAATTATTGTTTACCTAATTGGTACACGTAGTGATTTGTCTATTGGTTAAGGTAGATCATGACGGGGATTATAGACTATCTAGCTCGATTAAATGGTGTAGAGGGATTATCGTCAATGAGGCAACGACCAGCATTGCGTAAAATGCGTAAAATGTGTATAATTGTTTACCTATTTTGTTGATAGTGTTCAGAGTGAGTTCTCAAGTTATGCTCAACAAAACTAACTAGTACTCGATTAGTGATTTTTTACCGAGTTCATATCCCTAGTATTCACTCAAACAAATCATGCAACGTACACCTATTCATTGTCGGTAGTAATCAACGCATTGTAAATGTGTCACTAAAATGGTGCCAACAATTTATGTATCTAGCTGTTTTCATAATTTTATGCTTTATCTCATTATTACATTTTTCTGTTCACAAAGGAATTATTGTATGACCTTGCTTTGACTTTTGCAGTTAAAGCTGTTGTCACATGTAACCGATCTCCCTTTTAGGCTTAAAAGCACATAAGTAATATCAAGAATATATATTAACATGTTTAACCCCACCTCGTTTTTGCGCCTGTCCCAAGTCAGGAGACTTTGGCCTTTGTTAGTCTTGTTTTTTTCTAATTTATAAGTTTTGGAGTTTTGTGTGACGTACATTTTGCCTAGGGGCTAGCTGAAGCCCGCTTCCGGGTGCGGGATTTTCTCGCTGTGTTGATGACCCATTGGTGGCCTTCGGCTGTTTTCTGCTCTTTGATCGGGTTTTTGTCTCTCTGACACATTCCCATTTCCTTTCTCAATTGTATTAAAGTTTTTAAGCTATCAAATTGGTTTTGAAATTTGAATTTGCTTATACAAAATTCGGTAAATATCGAAAACAAATTGTTCTGAGACTACGAAACTCGAAACTTCATTTACTCAGCATAATACAAAATAAATTGATCATATTTTTTTTCTGAAACTGATCTTATATTGGTATTATATTGTTTTTGAATTGCAGCTGGAATTGTTGTAATAATAGCCATATAACACAAAGATAGAACATATTGTTTATCTTTAAATGATCCCTGTCTCGGCGAAAAAGTGATGGGTGCATAAAATTGACATTCCACAAAATATCAATTTATTAATTTATTCAGGAAAATGTATCTTAGCGGTAATGTTATCACTTGTGCAAAATCGATATCAAATAATAGAAAAACATCGGACTCGCAGTTTGTGGTGTCGTGTGCTGTCGTTAATGAGAGATGTTCGTTGTTATTCTGCGGTTTACATGTTGTAATGTACTATTATATTATGTATTTATGCATTTCTCTGTGTTGTGTGTTCTTTCGTTTGTTTGTACTATATTCCTGTCACGCAGTGTTGTCATTTTAGCGATATTTTGTAACATTGCCAAATAAGCGGGAGGTTTGGATAGCCATAAAACCAGGTTCAACCCACCATATTTTTCTTAAAATGTCCTGTACCAAGTCAGGAATATGGCAGGTGTTATCAAATAGTCCGTTGTCTATATATGTATGTCTGCGTTTGTTTAAGTTGCAGTTCAGTTGTTCCTGTTGTACCGTTGTTTTCCTCCTATAGTTGATGTGTATCCCACGGTTTTAGTTTGTAACCCGGATTCGTCAGTCATTTTTGCGAACGTAAATTATTTTTTAAATTTATGAGTATAAAGACAAACAAAACCTAATGCCACTATCGATAGGTTGCACTTTGTAAATACAGCCGTTTCACAAACCACGCCTCTTTTGTATAATATATTCATAGATATTTTGGTTTGTTTACATACTGGTTTCCGGATATGATCTCTATGTTTCATCTCTTAGAGACATAACTTGGGAATATTACCAGTATAAATACACATGGATAGCGGCCAAATTGAATTCTGAATAAGTCCCAAAGTGAAGGGAGGGGTAGTACAAAATTTCGATCGATCGAGTGGACCTTGATGTGAATGGACGTTGTTTTTGTTATATGTGAAAATGTAAGCGTACTTTCATTCCGCCTTGTATTTATTCCGGGTAACTGTTTTTCACTAAAAAATATTGGATGTAAATAGTGTGAAAGCGTCGATCTTGATTTGGTTGTTTTGTTTATATTAGACCGGTTTATTGTTTACCTAAATAAATGGGTTAAAATTAAAATAATTTTCAAGGAACCAGTTTAATTAATCTGAGTCAATCTAGTAAATAATATTAATGATGACGAGGAAGATATTTTGATTATTAAAAATACTTTAACAATGATCAGGACATTGAACTTGATATAAACCAAATTTAAAGAGAAGATTTGTTCTTACATAAAGTTTCAATTATAGAAGCATCCTTTGATATTGACAAAGAAGATATGATTTTATATCCAAGTCAACCAAAGGGCAAATACACAGAAAAACTTCGGCAATCCAATAAATATAAATATTACAATTAGTGACTATTTAAAAGCATATGATTTTATAGATTTGCATAGAAAAATTATTTAAATCTTATTCGTAAATAAGCATTATTGTGTTATCGTGTGTTCAAAATGAGTACTAATCACTTCATCAATGTATGGATCTAAAGCACTAGTGTAACTAATCCCGATATAAAAAAACTAGTGCAATCATTCCGGTACAAAATCACTAGACAAGTGTAATCATTCCTGGTTGAAAAACACTAGATGAAAAATCTCCACTTTTTATATAAATCAGCTATGCAGGTTTCAAATACACTAAAAACTATTTAGCCACATTTTATATATTTTTCCCCTCCAAATAACCTTTTTAGAACCTTGTAATGACTGGTGGATGTTTTACACTGGACCCGGATAGAAAAACTTAGTGAAATTTTGTTGGTGGATAAAAAACACTGGTGATTTTCTTCCTCCGGATATAGTACACTGGCGGAATCAAGCCACTGTTACAAAATACGCGCTGATATATATTATTGCTCAACTTTCCAAGCTAGATAAAGGATTTATGTGATTCTGACTTGTAACAGTAGCGAGTTTATTTCATTATTTTGCAAAATTAGTCGTAAAGTAACATTTGTAGTGATGTAAACATTATAGTGTAAGAAAAGGTCCCGAAGGGAAGTTTATGATTAGATTTCTGTTTTCATTTCATCATGGAAAGACTCCTGTCGTTATTGACAAGTACGATACAGAATGCTTGTGAACAATTTCGTAACATTACATTTACGGTGCATGGAGAAAATGATAAAGTCAGAATTTCAATTATGTTTACTAATCAAGACAGTATCAAAAGTAAGCGTAAATCTTATTCTACAATTAAGCGTGACAAGAAAAGACAGAAGGAATATAATGAAAACAATAGTGACACTATAATTGCAGAATGTGACATAAATGCTCAGTGTACAAATTATACACGTCAGATAGTTGTGTGGAATTAGTTAGCGCCATGGACGTTGAAAATACCCCGAATGGCACCCCAACAACAGGTAAAATTCAATCAGCAGAAAGTGTAAATATTGATTTGTGTATATATGATACAGGTAAATCACCTGACTTATCAGAATGTGTAAACAATAGCAAAGCTGTCAATGTAAATAAAGATAAAAACACATGTTAAGTTGTCAAAATTGAAAACAGTAATGTTGACAAAGAGTGTACGTTGTATAATGATTCTGATTTTTTTACTACATTTAAGTTTAGAAAAACGAAAGATAGTACTTATAACAAACCGCCGGCTACAAACATTTGTGTTAAAAAGAAAGTAATTTACAATTCAAATATAAGAACTGAAGAAAATGAATCAGATAATTCGAATACACAAATCATACATAATGTAAGTGATGATGAAAAGTGTGATTTGATTTCCAAATTTGTCTTGAAAATAAGTTGGACTGCTAGTGATAAACTTATATGCAAAATTGAGAATACGGGTAGACTTATATATTTGATATGGAACAAAAAACATATGAAGAACTAACTAATAGTGATCGATATTACAAAAAGTTCAAAACAGTATTGACACAAGACTTCAGTGATGTTCGTGAAATGAAATATTTGAATGCTGAAATTGAACAGGCAATAGTGCAGCCAAATGAAAGAATACGCTAAAAATAATAAACTGTTGTAAATAATTTGTTGGTAAATATAATTTTTGTGAGCATGCAAGTATGCATTTGTAAGATTTAGTGTATGCTAGTTTTTTTTTTTTTTGCCATCGGAATTTCTTATAATTGACTGTTGTCTCATAGACATTGTTTCACATTGATGAATATCAACGTTTTTGATCGTGAATTTGCATGGCGGAATGGCATCCAGCCCCGTAAGAACATTTGATTAATTCGTTTCGTTTTTCGTCTTTTTTTTTTACTGACAACAAAGACAATTATCAGTCAATTTTATGTTTTATTTTGTATTCTGCGTAGGTTTCTTAAATGAGTTGAATGAATGAGCTGCATGAAAGATTAGTGTGAGGTAGCCTGATAGTATAGGGACTTGATGTTTTTCATAATAATGTTGTAAATTGATGTAGAAGATGATAATGATTTGTGCAATAAGTTTTATCAAGATAAAAAAAAGTACAAAATTTTAGTTTAAGTTTAAACTCTTAAAAATTCGAGGCACATACATGTTGAAAATATACCTCAAAGCCCTATATTTTGACCTTTGAAAAGAAGTAATAATGCATATGAACTTTCTATTCTAAGATAATATAATGTTTAATGAAACTTCAGAGTAGAAGTGGAACAATTTAAGTCGTAAAAGGAGTTCCTATGGTAAATTGCATTGTCTATATTTATAGAAGTGCAACCTATATATTTGTTCACGAAATTCGTATTCTGCATGTTGGTGGACACTAGATTAAGACGAATTTTTGAAGTTCAAATATCTGGTTTATCTTATGGTTTTTTTTTAGTTTTTTTTTTATATTTTTGCATTGATAAAAACTATTTTGTTTTTAATATTATTACAGTATTCTCTTGTTCAGGTATTTACCTTAACACGTGCTTTTTTATATTACTGAGTGTGTTGATTTAAGCATGTTATTTAAAAAAATTCAGTAGATTTAAAAAGGTACATCATATTTGATAAATAGTGCGTGCAAGAGCGAATGATTTTTTATAAGTTTGCATGATTTTAATGTATTTTGTGTAACCAACACTATTTAGTGTTTTATGTAATAATGGATCCTTATTTAAAAATGCATTGGAATTAAAGACACAAAATGAATAGAAACTGACTCATAAATAAGAAAATATTTGCACAATTTACTCGTAATATCTCTACACAGGGCCTATACTTATCAAATATATCTCATTTCACTGCACAAGGTATGCGTAGAAGTAATCAAAAATCACACAATAAAATTGACGATTAATGTTGTTCGTTTCTAACAACACTTTTATATATACAACAACGCCAAATACAAACTTATTAAGATTTTAACCGCCATATATTCTGCACTGTACATTTGTTACCAATTATGACCCTTTGAAATGTTAAAAATATCGTTTCAATGAATGAAATATCAAAATATTTACCTTTCCGGATCCCCAACTTTCGAATCACAAACATCACAATCACAGTCAAATTTTTTGGCGATGTAGTAAACCAGTATGCAGGGCAAAATAGGAATGAGCAAGACAAGAAACGGTAAAAAAATTATCATAAAGCATGTTTTGGTGTTTTCACTACATTCACACGATCTACAACAATCTGTGTCTCTTTGTGTCTGGCTGGGACTGTTTGATATATTGGTTTGTGTTGCAGGGTGTCTATAGAGTGGTGGATTTTCTCTTCTACCGATATGTCGTGGACTTTCAGTCCTTATGGAATGTCTTTTGACAGAGGATTGACGAATTGGATTCTTCCAATACACCGTACAACATTTGCAACTTGTAAAAAAACGCCATGATACCTTAGAGATGGAAAATAGTCCGTTAAGAACCAATAATATTTCAGTTGCATCTACAGTACAGTCCAATGTGCAAACATCATAAAATCCCATAATCAGCATTATCTGAGAAATTTCAATAAAAAATAAAAACACGAACGTTTCAACGTATTCATGGATAATCTTTTTATCTATCACCACACCTTTTGTTTCATGAAACATTTGGTATATAATATGTAAAATCTGAACCATCGATAATATTGTTGCTACTATGGTAAATACCAGAAAAACAAATTGCACAGTTTTACCACTTCCTTCGCATTCGATGGTGAATTCTACATCTTTAACTCTTCGTTCTGCAACGAGTGTATAGTTTCCTCTTTTGTTCATTTCAGAATATTCGACCCAATCAAACACCAGATCGAGAATAATAAGCACAATGGAAATTATATGTTTTGTTAGGTTAAACATCCTACGTCTTTCAAAATGAGGTTTCTTCTTCCATTCATCATTTTCTTCTGCAATTAGTGTATTAATCGGCGATTCCTGGCCTTCATTTCGTGGTATATGCCTACGTGTTAGAACATTACAGTTTCCTGCTGTCTCTGGTGATAAAATAACTGGCGAAGAATATGGTTGGTTTTCTTCTTGACGATCAGTCGTTTTTGGACTATCAAATTGTTTCATTTCCCATGCAAAACTTGATCCAGAAACAGGATTGTCAATTAAAATTGTAGAATTTGGCGAAGTCGGTTCATCCATATTTGATGTCGATTTTTCATCGTCAGAAATATCAGTAGTTGGTCTCCTTTCCATTTGATCTGTTGTCTCTGGTGTTTCCCTTGTCTCTAGATTCGTTGTCTCTGGTTGTTTTCTTTTATCTAGATCTGTTGCCTCTAATTTAATCATTGTGTCTAGATTCTCTGCCTCTGATCGTACTCCTGTCTCTTGATGTGTGGCATCTGATGTAACTGGTGTAATCCGTGTCTCTGGATCCGTTGCCTCCAATGTGATCATTGTCTGTAGACTTGGAGTCTTTGGTATTTTGTTTATCGCCAAATCCAATTTTTCTGATGTTTTCAATGTTTCTATAGCGGTTCCCTCTAATGTTGTCCTTGATTCAGGATCAGGACCGGGATAATTTTCAATCTGAATTTCATTTATTTGCTCTGTTTCAGAGAAACCATAGGATGGTTTAGAATCATAATTTCCAACGTTCGCTATCGGTAGCCTTTCTATATTTACAGTATCCTGCTCTAACGTATTGCTTTTCAAATCAATCTCCTTGTCAAGTGTCTCCTTATTTGATTTTTGGTTCTGTTCTGAATCCAACTGTTGATCTGTTTTTAAATTTTGAGTTGCAGAGGATTCACTTTCCTTACTTTTATTATCCATCTCCAAAAAAGATATGTAACTATAGACTCATCAGTAAGGTTTTGAATATCCCTGTCTGTAATCAGATAATGCAATTAATACTACTCTTTTCTTTTATAACTGTACTTTGCATAATTTTCTCGATTAAGGTGCGCTATGAATATTTGAATCATGCTACCTAAAATTAAATATAATAAAAATGTTTATTGTTTTATACCATTTTAAGTGTACTTGTGTTCTATAATAAATACGTACGTATTGTTTATGGTGCACAAACAACAGATCTATATAATCTTTTGCGTTCATAATTAAATAGCATTGCCAGTTTTCCTGCCATAGATGAGTGATTCTATTCGGGTACTCTCAAACAAAACCAAACTGGCTTACATAATACTGCAAACAAACTTATCTTCGCGGATACTTTATTTCGTGTTTTGCCCTTTCTAGCACACTTCGCGGCGATTTAATTTCGCGATTTTCAAATTTATTTGATGGAGTTGAATAACAAGAGATCTAAGTTTTACTTATTCGCGACGGTTTATATTCGCGTTTTTTTTTCTATTCACGAAATTTGCGAAAATAAATCGCTCGCAAAAATTAGTTGGTTTACAGTATTACCAAGTATAGTGAAAGCTGCGTTAAACTCCAACTATCAATAAATTAACCTTTTTAGTTTTGTACAAGTGTGATTACAATTCAGAACGATTCCATATTGGTATCATTTTCCAACAAGATGCCTTCAAACCCTCTAGAGTATTTTAATACATTTTGACAATGTGTACCTTACCTTGTAAATACTTTTTGGCGAATTTTTGCGGGGTTCCAGATGATGAATTTACTGTAGCATTCTCGAAGGAAAATCGATACCTATTTTGTGAGTAAACATTACCAATAGTGTCCAACTCATAATCTTCAAACTTTCTTGAATATGTATTTTCACATAAAAAAACGTGTAGAGTTTCATCTTTCTTCTTGAAAAAAGGTCGATTTTCGCAAAATAAAGTCTTCCTACAGATTTGAACCCTGAATCGACAGACCTTCTTAAATACTAAATATAAATTTGCACATGACCCTTAACAAATATTACTGTCCGATATTATTGTGCAAACATTCAAAGGAATAAACTGAGGCAACACAGACAAACAGACAAACAACAGTACACAAAACACATCGTAGAAAAATAAAGACTGAGTAACATGAACCCACCAAAAACTGGGGGTGATATCAGGTGCTACTTAAAAGTAACCAGATCCTGCTCCACATGTGGCACCCGTCGTGTTATAGAAATCAGTTTATATCACATTTCCTTGGGTCTTCCTTTAGACATTTCATTTACTATTGTCATTAACATGCATATTGTGTTTAAATTACGAACCACTAGTTTTGCAATCCGATCGTTTGAGTCTTTGTTCAATTTATTCTTTCAGTGGGTGTCAACAAAAAGTCAGCGTAAACTAGAAGCTTCAAGGAGCCTGTATCACTCATCTTGGAATTTGTACATAAAATTGGTATAATGCAATCAAAATATTCTGGCAATTTTTAAGGAAAAAGGGGGAAAATTGGTACAAATTAAGTAAATTTTGTCCTGTTACTAGTTTTTACCATTTACAGTTTATCTTTATCTGTTATCAACATGGTTATAGACACCGCGTAGAAAAAGATGTTGGTTAATATTGTCATTGAAAGTCAATAAAGTTTATAAGGTGTCAAATTACAATTTCAGTCACGTCGACTTATTTGTAGATCTTTTCCTGCTGACCTTACGACTATTAATAGTTGTCTCTATATAGTATAGTTTCCGCAAAATACACAAATATGTAAAACAAGTCATAACTTCCCTTCAATTAAGTAAGACCTATAACATGTATAAGGATTGAACTAAGTATGTTTTGCAATGTTGACTTATTTTTTTTATCGTAACCTGTCCTAACGACTGTGCGATGTGACTGTCATACAAGTGAGAGGTTTAGCTAGCTTTAAAACCAGGTTCAATCCACCATTTTCTACATAAGAAAATGCCTGTACCAAGTCAGGAATATGACAGTTGTTATCCATTCGTTTGATGTGTTTGAACTTTTGATTTTGCCATTTGATTGAGGATTTTCCTTTTTGAATTTTCCTCGGAGTTCAGTATTTTTGTGATTTTACTTCTTATCATAATGCTTTTTACAATTTTCGCTATCTACTCTTTTTTTTCAACAACAAACATATGGGTAAAAATCTACATTTTCTTCATTCAAGGATAATAAGTCTTATAAGCATTCGATTTAAATGTATATCACAAAAGGGGGGGGGGTTCACTTCCTATTATTGGGTTTAAAGGGGATGTGCCAAAAATATGGGTCATTATTTTGCGAGATTTTATATAAAAATGAACCTCCTTTTTAATGACATCCTATACTAAAATGCATTTACATTTGATAACTATTTATTTGATTTGGGGTATGATCTACAGATCATAGAAACATATGCTATTGAGAATCTTACATTATTAATGGTCAATTATAATATAAGATTAAATCAATTCATTTGAAAGTTTACCTTTTAAAAAAGTTCCCAAATGAACCCCGGGAATTTGTCTTCTATTTGTATATTACTATAGGTCATTCTTTCGTTAATATTTATATAACTATAGGTACTGAATTTCAGTGAATGTTATATTATGGGTACATTTTTTTAGGCAAAAATGGACACACCCCTACCAAAGAAATGTCGAAGTACCACTCCCTCCCCCCTCCCCCCTCCCCCCTCCCCGTGGTATATCAAATACTGCTGATAATTTATGACGTAAACAGTTCTTCTAATCTCTTATAGTTTTTACGATGATAGCCAAAAGCGTTAACATTGTCTCTAAAGTGCAATATCTCCTACAAAAAGTCGCTTGTCAGTTTTGGTTAAATACGATAATAGGCAACTCTCTACATTCATTGTATTTATGTGTATGTCGAATTTTCCCTATCTTTCACGGTTTACAAAATAAGACAACACTTGCATTTTACTCGTATGTTCTCTTTTTAAGCATTGGCCGCGATGTTGTTTAGCAATCGGGATCATAGGAAACATTTGTTTAACTGGAAACTTCAAAGATGATTGTGGTCAAGTATAATTTCAATTTGCCCCTTAGTTTCAGAGCAGAGGGTTTCGTATAAAGTTAACGGACAACAGACAACAGACGACGAACGTCATGTGATGAAAAAGGCTTACGTACACCTTAGGTCAGGTTCAAATTAAAATGGGAGAACATATTTTGTTCTGTTAGACATGAAGTACGATCTACAAAAAATTGAAAAATATACTTTTCCAGTATACCCTTCGTCTGTTTTTATATCAAACCATCATGAATTATGATTAATTTTGATCATTCGTTATTGTTAATGTAAGTTATGGACAACAACGATCCGTTTAATATGATCAATGTGCTATTGCGCTTAATGATTTAAAACTTCATAATATTTGAAAACTAAAATGAGGCATATAGGGTTACATGTATTCATACAAATAAATTTTGATTCGCTTGATTGTTGTTCAATTATTTGAATTTAAATGACTGAAGAAGTTTGTCCCACTTAGATTTAATACACTTTTGGATTATTGTAAAAAAAAAATGATATTTATCTCTCGTCGACACTATATATTGTATACATTTCGTGCGTTGACTCTGCAATATGATCAAAATATAATCATTCTTTTGCTATTAGAAATTGGAATTTTTTTTATAAAAAGATGAAAGCGTTTTGCGTCTTAAAATCGTACTTCAACATGGTGTTCTGTATTTGAGTAATTACAATACGTCGTGATTTTAAAACACAATTCTAAAAGGCCAATTTCAAATCGAATTACACTTCTAAATTAGTCTTGCAGCTTCTCTGTCATGTATATTGCAATAAGGAGTAAAAGCATTAATTTGCTCAAATAGAAGACGAAGATACTCCGATTGAAACAATTGAGAATTAAACGAATAAATTCGTATTTTCAAAAACCAAATTGTTGATTATCCATTGTTTCGTCATGACAATTATTCTATTGTCCCCGCTGATAAACCCCAAAAAAGATCGTTCATGCTTGTAAATCACATCATATTAACAACTGGATAAGGAATAAGTTTTGACAGGTCTCTTGGAAACAAGACATCAACTTTCAGGACACTTATAAAGGAGAATCTCCTGAACAACCATAGTTCGGTGTTACGTTCTGTTTAATTTCAACCAAAGATGAAGAACTAGATATTACTTCTTTCTACGGGCACCCAGTTTACATATTTTTCCTTTTAAACAACATTATATTGATGGGTCTGTCAAATATTCTACGAAATCTTTTTTAAATCAAAAACGGGCTTCGGAACTACTGTGAAATTACTTTTTCTAGGGGTGCTGTTAAGGATACTTAAAATTTTTTAACATATGTTAGAAAACATAAAATTAAAGTCCCTCCCTTCGTTCATTAGTAAAATAGCATTTGACTTCTATTTACACTAGCATTCCTCATTCTAGACTTACAGACAGTTAACAAAAATGGTCCAACTTTGTTGCAAAAAACAGAATGATCAACAAAAATACAAATATACTGATGCAAGATGGGACAATTGCCTAACGACACCAATTCGACTGCACCAGATGTGCATTTCGACAATAAATATCTCTTCAGTGACGCTAGATGCCAAAGAGATATATTTCTTAATATAAAATAATTTCCAAAATTTTGCAACAGCAAATTTGAATACCACAATTATCGTTTATTCAATCCGATACCAGTTATTGCCTTCGGGGACAACCAAATCATACTTTAAGAAACAATCTAATTCGAGCAGTAAGTTCATTGAAACATACAACTACAAAATGCTGGATTTTTTAACTGACAACATATCTGTGACAATCGGTATTCCTATGGGAACCAAACGTGCCTCTTGGCCTACCGACTTATTCCTTTATTATTTTGAGGCAGACTTTATACAGAAGGTTCTCAAGAAAGTGAAATAAAACTGACTGTATCCTTTAATTTCCCTTTCCGCTATACAGATGATGTCCTTTCAATAAATATTTATACATATGGTGACTTTGTTTACTATCCATCGAAATGAACTTAAAATAAACGGAGTCTTGTAGTAACAAAACTGATCGATACGTTTGGTCAAAAGGTAATGAGGAAATGCATGTAGCTCTCTAAAACAACACAAGTCAT